TTGAATTATATGATGGGAGCAGTCAGGTGTAACAGCTGGAACATAATTACATAATGCAAATACAGCTCACCTTATCTCACTCAAATAAGTATGACCTTCATCATCACTATCAGCTCTTAAAAAACAACCCTACGTTTATGTGCAACTGCCCTTTACTACCTAAACATACACAGACTATATAGAGCCTGGCTAATGCTGCTTTTATACAAACTAACATTCTACTGGGAGGTAACATGTATGTGCTGAGTATTGGATTATACACACATCTAGATGACAAAATGACGACTGCTGTTATCCTGAACAGAGGGTGTTAATCACAGTGGACTCCTCGGGTCTGGTTCAGAGTCCTCTGCAGTGCTGAGATGGACTCTGACTGTGTGGGCTGAGCTAGTTTTCCTCTACTAAACATTCACAAGCTAGCACACCGTTTCAAGTCTAGAGGCTTTTAATGCCATAAACAAACCAAGCAGTTTAAAATATTCTTTATAAACACCATAAAATCGCACTCCAGGCAAGGGGTCCTTTTGTGCAGTCTAGATACAAAAAAAATTCCCTAGTTACAGGGATGTATTTTTACAAGTATATTGTTCTTTTGTGTGGGAATGTTGATTGTATATAGCGCAGTGCAGCACTCTACAGTGCCGATTTAGAGTTAATACATTACTGAGAGTGTTACTGAGATTAGGAGCCTCTTATAGTCGGAGTGTAAAGCTGTGTGTGTATGTGTGTGTGTGCATCTTGAGGGATGACCAGAGAAAAGTGCAATGGCAGCAGATCTGGTGTGCAGCTCAGCACTCACCATCAGCCCCCCCGTCAAAGCTCAACCCCACCCCTAGAGAGGGATTCTCCTTGAGTTCCAATTTGAACAGTACAGGATAATGCTGAACCACACCATCTCTCTTTCACTTCTACATTCACACACAGATAAGACTTTCACAATCAATGAATTCCTGCATCAAATTTTTGCACAGTTTTTCCATCTCTCCACACACACATACACATTTTTGAATGGCCAATGCAGGCAGGCTAGAAAATTGAAGATGTGTGAGATACACATACATATTTCACACTTAAAACTGACCAAAACCCATCCAATGCATATACACACACAGATAATATGCATATTTACAATAAAAAATCATCTTGACCTGCAGCCGTAAACAAATTTTTATGAAAAAAACTTGACAATTTTTTATGAAATACCAAAACAAAAGTAAACTATTACAGAAAGTTTATTGGATAATGAGTTATAAGTTTATGGACAATGCTATGCTTCCAACTTTGTGGGAACAGTTTGGGGAGGGTGCTTTTCTATTCCAGCATGATTGTGCCCCAGTGCACAAAGCAAGGTTCAAAAACATGGTTGGATGAGTTCGGGTATGGAACAACTTGACTGGCCCACACAGAGCTCTGACCTTAACCCCATCGAACACCTATGGAATGGGCTGGAACGGAGATTGTGAGCCAAGCCTTCTTGTCCAACATCAGTGTCTGACCTCACAAATGCTCTACTGGATAAATGGCCAAAAATTCCCACAGAAACACTCCAAAATCTTGTGGAAAGCCTTCCACGTAGAATGGAAGCTGTTATAGCTGCTAAGCTATAACATATATTAACGTCTATGTATTTAGAAGAGAAGAATAATATGTACAAATATATCATTTAAATATTTTCTTCCATAATAATTACATACTTTTATTATATAATTTAAAAAAACATCTTCTCTTAAGGAGTGCGTTGTTCACAGCCCCTTACTGAGATCAGTAGGTGGTCTCTGTAAGGCTGCATAAATTAAATGCAGGGCTAATCTTATTTTCTAATTGCTCTTGACAGAGGCTGCGAACATCCATCACAGTACAGACCACAGCACAAAGGACGTCACCGTAAACAGAGCAAAGCACAGCTCACGGTACAGTACAAAGAGAGGAAACAGTCCAGGCAATGAGCGATTGACAGAGTGGTGGAGCACAGAGAGGCGCAGGGGCGTCTGAATATGGGTAGAAGAACAATTTATAAGTCAAAGAAAAAACATGCCTATCATGCCACTCTGTATCTCTTTTTTGTATCTCATACTCCCTCTCTTTTTGAAGGAAATTGATGGGTATGGGAGTGGGTTTCTTATCAGAGGCATAAGGATCCTGTTCCGCTGAAAAACTGCAATGCAGATACACAGAGAACAGAGAGACAGAGAGAGGGAGAGGCGAACTTAAACTCTGTCAGTAATCCCCTCAAATTTCAGTAACATCCCATTCAGCCCAGCACCTTTTTAGGATTCTCACATGCCCATGCACATACACATGTCTGTTTTTATATCATGTTAGGGAGTTTTCATTGTTTTTATACTGAGCTAATGATATTGCTAACCCTAATCCTGTCTTTAAACCTTTGTACATTTTTTTATTTATTATTATTCATTAAACACTATTTAGTGTGTTTATTACACCATTTTCATTGCAGAGACCATTGGATTTCAGGTTTTACTATTTTCCTCACAATGTACACAAAACCTAACCACACACACAGTCACCTTCAAAACACCTTTCCTTACACCAAATCCAGTGACTCTTTCTTTTGTGACTTGACTCTCTCTCTTTCTCCGTTTAGCTTCATAATCACTCTGAATCATCCTTCCCTCAATCTACAGTGGCACTTATGATTAAGACATGTTAATGCAGGGCAAAAAAAACGTGGTTCCTTGTCTTAAACCATTTATAGTGCAGTTTCTGGTCAACCTACACACTTTCTAAGAGTCACCATTTTTTTCACCATTCTTTTGTTTACCAGAGATAGCGACACAAATATGAAATTAACATATACACTGCCACCTGGTGTCGGATATGATTAAAATAACACCCACTATCCTTCTTACTAAACAATTTCCTGCCCTGTAAGATTTTATTTCATGACATGAAAAGGGCCAGTAGAAAGAACTGACAATGGTAAATATACATAGAGGAACCTTTCCTTACACCAAATCCAGTGACTCTTTCTTTTGTGACTTGACTCTCTCTCTTTCTCCGTTTAGCTTCATAATCACTCTGAATCATCCTTCCCTCAATCTACAGTGGCACTTATGATTAAGACATGTTAATGCAGGGCAAAAAAAACGTGGTTCCTTGTCTTAAACCATTTATAGTGCAGTTTCTGGTCAACCTACACACTTTCTAAGAGTCACCATTTTTTTCACCATTCTTTTGTTTACCAGAGATAGCGACACAAATATGAAAGTAACATATACACTGCCACCTGGTGTCGGATATGATTAAAATAACACCCACTATCCTTCTTACTAAACAATTTCCTGCCCTGTAAGATTTTATTTCATGACTTTGATGAAAAAGGGCCAGTAGAAAGAACTGACAATGGTAAATATACATAGAGGAGGCCTGAGGAGTGTTGTAACACGGGGTGAGTCGTAACACCATATATTAACTGTGGTGAATAAAATAAAATTCTCTCACCCAGTTGAGATTGTTGATCATTTTAAATATCTTGGCACAAATATAGATCGTAAACTGAGTTTTGGGGATAGCACTAATTATTGCTTTTTAAAAATGCATGCAACGTCTGTTTCTAATATGGAGAATCAGTAGGTTTGGAGTGAATCAGAACATACTGGAGATTGCTTACAAATCATTGGTTGAGAGTGTGCTGCTGACTTATAATTTAACCTTCTGGTATGGGCACCTTAATTGTAAGCAGAAAAATAACATGCCAAGGGTCACTAAAAATCATTGGTAGACCACAGAGTAATTTAGGTGAGGTGTACACTTCAAGTTGTGTTAGGAAAGCAGAGTGTATTCTAAAACACTCTACTCATCCTTTGTATGATCAGTTTGTTCTATTGCCCTCTGCGAGACAATTCTTAATGCCTACAGCAAAGATAAATATTTATAAAAGATCCTTTGTACCTGCTGCAGTTGGATCTATTAATCAAAAGGCTATGCGATTTAGTATGGTGGTTTTAATCTGTGTTTTGTGTGGTATTTGTTTATATTCGGTATCACTGGTGTGGTCAAAGACACATTTCAACCAAGGTTGATAATAAAGATGTATTGTATTGTATGGAACTACAGTACAGTGGTGAAATCACCATGACCACCATCTGCTGATAATGACAGAAGGTGCAACACCATTTTTACAGCACAAAATAAATAAATAAAACAAAAAATTATATAGAGAATAAAGACAGAGAGCAGCCTATTTCACATCTGGTCATAGTTGGATAGTTTGATTAATTGTATGCAGGAGCAGATTTGCTTGTTCAGTTTAGTATAAATTATCCACAGCTTTTCATTTATGCGACATGTAAAAAAAAAAAAAAACTGAAATATCATAGTTGTGCAGCCCGAGAGGGTTGTTAACACTTTCCAATGTACTTCTGTACAGAGTTAAACCTCCACATAGGCCTACTGACTATTTTACATATTATTTAATGTAATTATTTTTGTTTAGATTTATTTGCTTGTTTTGGATTACGGTGCTACCTATATGCTGTTTACCACTTTGTATTAAAATGCTTAACGTTAAATGAGGATGGGGTGGTAAAAAGGAGTTATTATCTTTTCTAACAGTGTTACATCTCGTGCTAGAAGGGCAGTGGTTTGTAACCACAACACTCTTTATACTTGACACTAATTTCTAGTTTATAGATAATGTGCACATTTTTAAGTAACTACTGTAATTTGTAGCAGACAAAACTAAAACTTCCAAAAATAAAATTCCCCTATTGTTATCTAGTATTATATTATTATTCCAACTCACCCAAGCTGCATATTAAAATGTAATACGAAAAACTATTAAGACTATTGAAATGGCTACGCCTTTTATGTGCCTTGTTTTTTTTAATGGCAGCTCAAATTAATAGCCACTTGTAATTCCCCCAACAAACGCAACGCGTTGGAATTCCCATAGAAACTAATGTAACTGACAATTAATTATGCGTGCAACGCCTGCGCGCTCTGAGCCCTACGCATGCGCAGTCCCGCACGGTGTCTGGTTACTACAGTGGATTTGGGAATTCCCCAGGAAAACACCTACGCAGCCACACGGCCTTTTCTGGATAAACTGGGCAACAGCAAGCCGCTCACAAGGGGAGCAATTTGTAGTTTTATAATGCTCCGGACATGGAGGGAATCTGAGGCTTGTGCGACAGCGCTTGCCGCTGTTGTTTGGGAATTTGTCCAGAAAGAGCTCATCTTGTTCCCATAAAAACACCAACAAGCGTCAGACGGAATCCATCTGGATAGAAGCGAAAACGGCGCAACAGATAGTTGTTTGTCAGGACAGGCAGTTTCTCTTGTTATAGCTGACATCATTTAAACGGCTGATTTATCTATAAATGGAGGGGGTGCACGATATTCACGGTGAATCCCGGAGACAGAATGCACGGCCTGCACCGAGCTACGCTATGGAGAAAAGGGGCGCCGTGGACTCTGTCCCGGAGGACTGGTGTGACAGCGGGCTAGACTCCTTAAGTGGGGTCGGACTCGGTTTTGAGGGTCCCTACGGCACTTACACCGAGGCCGAACAGATGTGGACACCTGGACGGTCTGTGTCTGACATCCCTCCGTCGGACGAGTCCGACAACAGGAGTACCACGGATTGTGTGTCGATTGGCGGCGGAGAGAGGCTGGACTCTGCCATCGGGGACTCGATTAATGAGGATGCGGTGGTGGGGTGCCTCTCCGACGGGATCGGCACCATGATCCTGGGCGAGCCTGCAGGTACAGACAGACTGGCGAATTCAAACACTGAGGAGGGTCGGCAGCGAAGGGAAGAGCTCTTCAACACGCTCAACTTTCTGTCAGAGGACGGTGACACGTACGTCTATGTAGTTTTCTATTACCTGTACTTTTGAACAGTTTGGAAGGCTATTGGATTTAGACTGTAAACATGTCCTCTTGTCTCTCAGGGTACTTCATTTGGCACTGATTCATGAGCAGTGGGGTGTTGTTCAGTGCCTGCTTGAAGAAATTGTGGTTAACAACAGCTGGACTCCTTACCTGGACACTCAAAATGACCTGGGCCAGGTAAATGCACACCAGTGTTGCCAGATCTCTCTAGAAAAACAAACAACCTGCTCTGACAAGCCAGCACCTGTGGATAAAAAAGAAAAGCTTTACTTTCAGTGATTTACTGTTGCATACAACATCACATATCAAATAAGGCAATACATTTCATGGTGCTGTTGAAGTCACCATATCATTACAATTCTTATTTTTTATGGAATATTGCATTGTTTATTATAAATAATTTATTGGTGCCTGTAATTTAAGTCCATGTGCACTAATAATCTAGTATTAAGTATTAATAATCTAATCTCAAAAATTAACTATGCACATTTTTACCTTGAAATATTTGTTTCAAAATTGCAATATCAGTTCTGGTACACTGACTTTTAATAAGGTGAAATGTTTCTGTTTCTTTTCCACGCTCCCTCCAAAAGTCTGTTCTGGGAGTTTGGAGGTTTGGTGGATTTTATTACACAAAATTACTTTACTGCAGCAACAAATGCATATGTACAGCTATCCAGTGTAATTACGACAACTTAACTATAGGGGGCTCCAAACTTGCAAAAATATACAAAACTATATACTGTTGCTTTAATGAAAAACATTGATTTTAACATTCACCTCCCCTCCAGCAACCTGTCACTCACATGACATCACAGCAATTAGCAAATGACAAAGATCCAATCAAATCTCAAAGGACAAAATCAAGTCCCACCCTACTTTCTTTTTTTTTTCCAAAAACTCCTGTATACACCTATACAGAACCCAAAACCTAGCAAGGCCAAATACACAATTGTACTCTGGAAATAATGCAAACCGCAGCTGACCATATTAATATGACTTTATAAAAAACAAGCCCAGAGTCACTTATAATAAGTGTGTATGGCAACACTGACGCATCATCGGTGCGTGTTCCCTATCTCTAACTTTTTTTCACCCTCCCCCCTCATTTGCTTAGACCGCTCTACATTTAGCAGTCATCGTAGACCGGAGTGAGTGTGTTCGGGCACTGTTGTGGAGTGGAGCCAGTGCGGAGATCCAAGAGAGGGGTGGAAACACACCTTTACACCTGGCTGTCAGAGAGCTTCGCAAAGAGTGTGTGAGAGAGCTGACCAGCTGCTCACGGACCCCACCAGTGCACCTGAACATCACCAATTATGCAGGTACAAAGTCAAGCAAATTTATTTCACTCTGATGAATATCATTGTTTTTATATATCTATGTTTTGCATCCTGTCCCTTTCTCTGTCCATCTGTCTCTTTAAGGTGTGAGTGCACTGCACCTGGCTGTACGTAGGGGCAATTGTGAGATCATCAATATGCTGCTGGAGGCTGGAGCAAATGTAAATCAACGGGTGAGAAATTACCATTTGATTTAAATCAGGGTTATTGTAGTTAACTAAAACTGAAACTAAAATGAAAACCATTTAAAAACATTTTCGTTACTTGGAAAAAAAACATTAATTGAATTAAAATATTTTAAAAACTTTTTTATTTAATCTAGTTGCCAAGGCAACATTTCTCATTTTAATTTATTTTAAACTGATGTACTAAAATAACAAAGTAAAAAAAAAAAAACAACAACAACGATAGACTTTAAAAAAAACAAAAACTAGTAGAAATGACAAAATACAAAATGACTAAAATTTTTAATAAAATTAATAACAAATTATAAAACTAAAAACAGATTCAAAATGTTAATAAAAACTATAATAGTACCTCAGTGCTACTAAAATAACACTAAATTAAATATACAACCATGTTTTATGAAAGAACATAAGGTTCTTCTCGAGTTGTGTTATAATTAATTTGAGTGTTCAAAATTTTTTACTGTTTTTTTTTTTTTAATCATTAACTCTGATTTTGTAGGATTTGGGGTCAGGTCGGTCTCCATTGCACTGGGCGGTGGAAGGTCAGAGGTCAGAGGTAGTGAAGTTATTATTGAGCGCTGGCGCATTGCCGAATCAGCGCTCATATGCAGGCCACACCCCATTCTACTGTGCCCTTTACCGACCCAACAAAGAGGTGCAGGCCCTACTTAGTGCCCATGGGGCCACATACACACAGGACGATGAGGAAGAGGAGGAGTACCGAGAGAGTGAGGAGGTTAGAGCCAAATCCACACACACTGACAGCAGAATGCTTAACGGTCTGCTTCTGTACTTATTATTTCTCTGTCTGTCACAGGAGGAGTTTGATGATGTCATCATAAATGGACAGCGAGTGCTGTAGCTGTAAAACATGGACACAACTCTGCCATCAGACCCCTTGAACTCCAGCTGAACGATTGTGGAGTCTTGAGTGTATTTGGTGGAGACTATTATGTGTGTCTGCGTGTGTGTATTTTGTTTTAAGGTACAGTATGCTGGTTTTGGTTCAGGCTGATGGGAGTGCATAGCTAGATTCTGTTAGTCATGGAGGATCTAAGTTATTTAAGCCTGACATCACGCAAATCCTTTTAAAGCTGTAACAATGGAGGCAGCTTTTCATTTAGTAAAACCTCTCATTGGCCCATCTGGTGTATGTTATAATAAAGGGATAGTTCACCTAAAGATGAATATGCTGTCTCACCTTTATGGTGTTTCAAGCCTGTATGACTTTTTCTTCTGGGGAATAAAAAATGTCTTAAATTTTTTTTTGAAAAGTGTTTTATGTGCACACATTAAAAATCAGTGGAGTCCAGTGTTGTTTAGGCTACATATACTGTATCATACCTTTAGGCAAAATGTCTTTCACAGAAGAAACAGTCATTTGGGTTTGGTGAGTAAATGATTTTAATTTTGGGTGAATTATCCCATTAAAGGGTTAGTTCACCCAAAAATGAAAATTCTGTCAATAATTACTCACCCTCATGTCGTTTCAAACCTGTAAGACCTTCGTTCATCTTCGGAACACAAATTAAAATATTTTTGATGTTTACGTTCAGTGGATACTCTCCAAAATGGCGCTATAGGGTGACGCGGAGGAGACGAATTGTTGAATAAAGTCTTTATTTTTTTTCCTTTGCGCACAAAAAGTATTCTCGTAGCTTCGTATAATTGCGGTTGAACAACTGATATCACATGGATTATTTTACAGATCTCCTTGCTACATTTCTGGACTTGGGAACCCCTGTAGCGCCATTTTGGAGAGTATCAGCTGGACGTAAACAGCGCATGCTGTTCTGTGTCGGCTGCATCACACAGTTGCGTTGCTGTCTATGCAGGGTCAGACAGCTCTCAGATTCCATCAAAAATATCTTAATTTGTGTTCCGAAGATGAACGAAGGTCTTACAGGTTTGAAATGACATGAGGGTAATTAATGCCAGAATTTTCATTTTTGGGTGAACTAACCCATTAAGAACCAAATACCCTAGAAGATATCAAACACGGTACATTGCATGTCTACGGCACATGCGAGCAGCACGGCTGTGATACTCCCACTAGTGGGTAGATTCATTATGTCCACAACATGTGTTGATGTACAAGGTGACAATAGTGGCTTTCTTTCTGTTTTAAAATGAAATTATTAGCCAGATTTAGCTGAAGAAACCTTGAAGAGAAATTGAATGGTTTTTAATAAACTTGTTGACTTACTATTACTGCTACACCAACTATTGGCTGTTTATTTAGTGGAGTGTCACGCTTTCCATGTGACCTCTCGATTGCATTTTGTATAATTTTTTTTACAGTACATATTTTTTATTTTTCTCCTATAATGGGTCTTGGGGTGAATATGATAGGTGGATATGCAGTCGGTCAGACAGCGGTGAAAAGTTTTTATAGCGCCGACTTAAAAAATTTATAAAATTACAGACAGCACAGAATTCTACATTACAAATGGCAGCTCAAAACTTTGAACTGAATGCAAAGAAATATAATTAGAGCTAAATTCTTGATCTAGGGACGTTCATACTTTAGTCTCATCAAACCGCTTACAGTTATACCATGTGGGGGCATTATGGTTGTGGACATTTACAATCACTTGTTTATAGGCCTATTTCAAATTTTCTGTTTGTAGGGGTGAGCTTGAAATTTTTCGGTGATGATGCTGATTGGTTCGTTCTGTTGGTAATATGGAGGCTCCTTTGGAAATCAGGGCTCCTAATCTACTTGTACTTGTGAGTTGACTGTATACTAGTGAGCAGAGTAAATATGTCCTGTTTTAAATGATAAGGTTAATGGTTATTCATCCATTGAGAATATGTCATTGGTTTGACCTTGTGCTTTAGGAAACGATGCCACAGTAACAGCTCAGCGTAGATGTAAGACAATCGAGAGAGGAAGGAGCAACATTTAGGGATTAATGAAACAAGTGTAGCCATGTCTTAAAAGTTGAGAAGTACAGATCATTTTAGAGGAAGCTGGATTTGCATGTGAATGTTTCTAATCCATGTATAAAGAAACAGCGACAGATCGTTCCTTTCATCTGTACATATTACTGTTTACTTGGTGATGGGTGAAATGACTGAAAATCTCTTAGAAACCATTCAAAAGGACAATAAACAATAATGACAAGAAGACTTGTTTTATTTGCACATGCTCATAATCACTCAAATACACAATTTTCTCATGATGTAGCTGCTTCTTATCTAAACTCAAAGATTGCAGAATGTGTATTAAGTTCGACTGGCTGCTGTTTTGAAATGACATTTCATGCCTGCTTTGTTATTTTTAAACAAACTTTTTACTGCCATTTTTTTTTTAAATTGTTAAGAAATGTTCAAGACCCATTTTAACACCCATTTCAATTCTATTTAAATGATTATTCTAATTACTAGTGCTATATTTAATGGTTGACCAGAAATTAAATCAAGGCTGTGGGGATTGTAAGCACAGTGTGTTCATTATTTTAATTTCTAACTCATTTTTAAAGGTAGTATCAGTATTTTTTTCATGTAAGAATGAGAGGAAGTATTTTGAATTACAGTAATAAGAATCGGGGGGTAAAATGAGCCTAATTCTCCTGAAAATAGTATTAGTTACAATGCAAAGAGTCCTAATAGTGGAGTTTTTCTTTATGCAAATGAATACGTTTTTTTTCTTTCTTAAATTTTAAAATGTGACCTGGAAACGTCCTTGCGAGATTAACAGTTTAAACCTCTTCTAAATGACCCCTCCCCATCCCCCACTACTCTGATAAGGTGTGGTCTTCAATTCAATTTGATTCCTCAAATTTTGCCTGTTTGACTGTTCACCCTTCCAAGATTCTGTCTGAAAGAGCTCAGGGTCAAAGCTCAGCTCTGAACCTATTAGTGGTATGTTCGGTAGTTCTTCTCCAGTATGCACAGAGTTACAGATGATCCAATGCCAAACCCAGCATACAGTGGTTCTGAGAACTTGGCCTGAAATCTGTGGATGAGCTCCATTGTCTCAGAAACAGAGTGAAAGGACACAGATCCTCTGGCGTAATCCAGGTACACACCAATCCATGAGGCACGAGCTGCACCCGGCAGATCTTTATCCATCTTATTGTGCCAGGCGGAGTATCCCGAGTCTGAGCATAGGAGGCTCCAGGATTTATCATTGTATCCCAGAAGGATGTTTGAGTTCTTGCCTTTGCGGCTAATGCTCTTGTAGGCAACTCCAACGGAAAATTCACCATTTCACTCCGCCTCCCAGTAATGCCGCATTCCGCTGAGTGGCTCCTCGCACAGGATCTGGCAAAACCCATCAAACCGCTCTGGATGATCTGGGTAGAACTGGGTTGTTCTTTCCTGGATCACCTGGCGGGCGTCCAGCGGATGACGTTAACACGTAGGCGTAGCGTAAACTCCGGTGAGAATATGCTAGTCTCGCGAGAAACTAATTTTGTTTACAGCAAAGGAAAATTGTGGTGATCAGTTCACAGCAGTGATAGAAATGAATCTTTTCCAATAAGTTTAAATAGATTTTTTCTTTTTGATTTTTTTTTTCTAATTGTGTGCATCATCTTTTCAATCAAATTCTTAAATTGAATCAGTCAATTAGAATAATAAGTCATTTGGGCTGTTACCAAGCAAATGAAATCAGTATTGACAAAATTCATCTTTGCAACGCAGAGGAAACACAGAAGTTGCATCTGAAGAGGCATTTAGATGCTTTTACACACTGTTTAGTGCAAATGAAAAGATACTTTAAATGTGAAATTAAAACCACCAGTAGGTGGCAGCAAGTCACGGTTAATAAGTGAGTCATTGCGATTGAACTGAATTATTTAAACGGAACAAAACAGCGTCATGTTGCTTAGAGACGCAAATTGGAATTATATTTGTTGGCAAAATAGAGCAAAAACAGTCAATATTGTGTCTAAAACGTAAATGTCTTAATATTAAATTATTGCTTATTGAACTGCTGTATAAAATCAATATCACATTTGTAATCATGCTGCTTTTTGGTGGAAAAAACGTCAGTCTTCGCGTGATACTGATTAATATGAAATTATATAAATATATACATTTCTGTCCCCATATCTTGAATTTTGTGATCATTCTAAATGCATTTAAATAAACTGAATCAGACTTCTTACTTTAGCTAACTTACATGGTAGCTCTCTCATGAGTCATGGATGTTAGCAAGACAAATTAACTATTTTGCCTTTTGTCTTTTGGATAATTAGCTGTAAATTCGAGGCACAGGTAGCTTAGGCCCAATCCCAATTCTATTTTATACCCCTTCCCCTTATCCCTTGAAACAGTGTCAAGGGGTAGGGGGCAGCCATGTTGCCCCTGAAGCCGGTGTTCTGACAAATAATGCTACCTATCAGATTATGCTACCAACACTGTATTTATCCTACTGTAAGGGTAGGTTTAGGGTTGGGGTAGGTGTACATGTTAATAAAGCCTCACACTTTATTAATATCATGCTGGAAGCAAAATCAGATAGGTAGCACTTTTCACTATCGAATTATGCTACCATCTGTTTTAATGGGAGGTAGCAAAATCTGACAGGGTAGCACAAATCGTCAGAACACCGGTTTACGCCGAGATAATTCATACCCCTTCGTTTGAAGTGTGGTCCCGAAAAATCTTCGTTTGAAGGGCTGTCTGGCCCTTCCCCTACCCCTACCCCTCCAACCAAAAGAGAATTGAGACACCCCTACCCCTTCACGTGAACGCGTGAAACGGAGGGGTAGGGGAAAGGGGAAGGGCTAAGGGGTAGAATTGGGATTGGGCCTTAGTCTGTTGTTCATCACCACTCACCTCCACAGCAAGACAAACACAACTGGAAAGGGAGAGAAGGCTTCACTTCTGCGGCTCTCTGTGCATGTGCCGATCAATGTGTGCTACACATAGTGCTACACTGCTGTGCTGCGGAGACGCGGAGCATTTCTCAACATTTCCGGACCCGACCTGATATTTTTTATTTGTTTGACAGGGAAAGCTATGC